GACCATACAAATCTGGAGAACATCAGAAAAGCTAAACGCCTTAACTAACTTAAGGCCAGGTGGACACTATTTTTTAGTAGGTTCCACTTCACACTCTCTTTTCGTCCCGGATCCCAGAATCGAAAACCTGATGCTTTGTCTCGCCTTTACGACCCAGAACCACTTGCCATAGAGCCCAAGACCATCCTTCCACTAAACCGTGTGGTCGGAGCGTTTTCCTGGTAAGTAGAGTCAGACGTAAAAAAGGCAAATGTTTTGAACCCGGCACCTAGCGAGTGTCCAAACAACCTGTTGTTTGTCCCTGTGTCTCTCCATTCCAAGGTCATCTACTGGGCCCACTCCTCTGTGCTCTTGTGCCATCTTGGTGTAGAAAGGACCATGTTCAGGATCAAGCGGCGGTTCTGGTGGCCAGCCATGAAGAAGGATGTGCAGGACTCAGGAGTATGTAGCGGCTTGCCCTGTGTGTTCTCGGAATAAAACCTCGTCCCAGGTCAAGATGGGCTTGCTTCAGCCGTTGCCGGTTCCCCAACGTCCCTGGTCACACATTTCCATGGACTTTGTGACAGGACTCCCATGATCCAGAGGCAAAAACTACTGTCCTGACAGTGGTGGTCTCCAAGATGGTTCATTTCCTTCCCCTAACCAAGCTTCCCTCTGTCAAGGGTACCGCAGAGTTCATGATGAACCAGATATTTAGGATCCATGGTTTCCCTAATGAGATTGTTTCCGACAGGGGTCCACAATTCATTTCCACCTTCTGGAAGGAGTTTTGCAGGCTCATAGGCGCCACTGTCAGCTTGTCTTCAGGTTATCATCCTCAATCAAATGGACAGTCGGAGCATCTGAACCAGGAACTGGAGACTACGCTACGTTGTCTCGTCTCCCAGAACCAGTCCACCTGGAGCGACCACCTCACATGGGTCGCGTTTGCCCACAATACTCTTCCCACGGTGGCCACAGGTTTCTCTCCTTTCCATTGTGCCAATGGCCACCAGCCTCCGCTGTTTTCAGCCAACGAAGGAGAAGTAACGGTTCTATCAGTCCATGCCATGATCAGACGCTGTCGCCGAACCTGGGCAGGTGCTTGCCAGTTACTTCTCAGAAGTTCGGCTCGGGTGAAGGCGGTAGCAGACGTCCACCGCAGGGCCGGTCCCCTCTACAAACCGGGTCAGAAGGTTTGGCTTTCTACCAAGGACCTACCGCTTCATGTCGCCTCCAAGAAATTGGCTCCGAGGTTTGTGGGTCCATTCCCGGTATCTAAGGTCATCAACCCTGTATCTGTGCGCCTACGACTCCCCATGACTATGAGAATACATCCCACCTTCCATGTCAGCAAGATCAAGCCCGTGCATGAGAGCACACTCGTTCCCACCTCCAAGCCCCCTCCACCGGGTCGTACATTTGAGTCCTTACCTTTGAGTATCCAAGTTTGTGACAAAGACGTATCTCGGCTACCAGTGTCATACCTGGTCGGCTTGGCCGGTCAGACCCAGGTGGGTCTCTTGCATACAGATGGTCAGTGGTTGCAGAATTGGCTACTTCAGACATTCACGGTACGTCCACACAGCAGCGTTGCATGCTTCAATGGAGACGCTTCCCATTCACTTTGAATGGGGTGACGTTACGCTTTGCCGAACTGCATTGTGGTTCCGTCGCCTCACTTTACCTCCGTTGCTTGCTTCGAAAGTAGAGAAAAGTTCAACTTTTCAAGCGTTGACGGAAGCGCCAGCCAATCAAACCGCGTGCTTGTGTGTCCGGGGTGGGAGATTAATGTGATTGGTTGTTGGTCGCATGCCAGACACGCCCACCGGCAAGCTTCAACGCGACGCTGCCGTGTGGACGTACCGTCACTGTGGTACAGTGTCTGTTGTCAGCATTGCCCGGGATGCGCCACATGGAGGCTTTTGCTTGCAATCCCCAATTTCATTTTCATGCTAATACTTTTGTAATTAAGTAACATTTTGAATGCAGGACTTTTACTTGTCACTGAGTATTTTTGCACTCTGTTACTTCTACTTTTACTTCGGTACAAGGTCTGAGTACTTCCACCTCTTGAACCACTATTGTAATTTTGATGAGATCGACAGAAACTAAACTTCCTTAATAGCTAATATTGCTTTGTGTCTGTTGGCTGTGTAGACAACTTTTTCCACGTATGCTGTAAAGACTTAATAAGGTATTTGATTCGAGGTCAGTGTGTGGATCCGTTACCTTGCTCCTGTGAATTTGCACCTCTCTAGGAACCAGCTTACACTCCATAATTGGCCCATTCTGGTACTTGAACTGGTTCCCAAGCAAGTTGCCCTTGGACTGCTCATTCGTTCAAAAAGAGAATGGCGCTCAGCACTGTGTATTGAACATAGAAACATACTGAGCTAGCCCGCTAACGGTCACTGTTCTGTGCATGGCATTGGTATTTCCAATGGTATGTGTTAATTGCAATGGGATATTTTCCTCCCATCACTCTGGTTCTGTGCTGAGGCCTGTTCCTCTGTGCTGCTCTGTGTGGTGTAGTGTTAATAGCTTGCCGCAGGTCCATTATATCCTCTGTATGGACTGCTTTTATAACAGTTTCTCCTTTCATTCAGTTGCAGATGTAGGGCAGCTGTCAAAAAAATGTTTTTGTAAATCTTTTTGTATAATGAGGATCTATTATTTATTAATATGGTTTATAAGAAAACTCCACAGAAAAGACGGTTTGTTTAAAAAAAAAAAAAACATTCCAAGTTTGAAACGGTAGCATGCAACAAAATCCTACTGCAGCCATATTTTCCAAACCTGCAACAAAAAGTAAAATAAAAATGCTGTTTTAATATATGACAGGCTGCAGGGATTGTTTTATAAATAAGATGTGCTGTTTTAACCCTGCATTGTGTCTGACAGGCTGACATGAGCAGCGACAGAGCCATCAGGAGGGAAGAAGGAGAGAGGCTGGCCAGAGTGAGTGTTTCATTCATTCTATAGCCGCGTTCACACCGCGTACTTTGCAGTACTTAGTGCCGGCACTTAGTGCCCCAGCACTTATTATCCCAGGGCACTAAGTACCAATCGCGTTCACACCGGAATACTTTTCCCTGAGGGAAGATTACGCAAATGAGCCGCTGACGTCACTTCGTCGGTTTACTGGCAGGCTGCAAACAACTTCACGGCGTATACTGCCACCCAGAGTCCCCGACCGGAAGTCCCCGGAGTTGGGGACTGGCTTCCGAGTAAATCGCCAGAACGCAGACACCTCCTCATCACTCCACCGCTCCCATGTTTTTTTTTGTGTTGCCATAAGTTATTCTCTCTCCGTTGGTGCGCGGGGCTAATGCTAATGCTAATAATGCTAATGCCACAAATACAATGGCGGCTTCACAAAACTTTTCAGAGTTTTACGGGGCGTGGTTTGCAATTCGCCCAGCCAATCAGAACTGGGGCACTTTTCCCCCCCAGGATAGTACCATCTCTTTAGCAGGCACTAAAAATGGGGGTTAAAGTTCCCGGCACTAAGTACTCTTTTTGGTGTGAACGCAACATAAGGGGTACTAACGGAACTAAAGGGGAAAAGTACGGGGAAAAGTACTCCGGTGTGAACGCGGCTATTCACTCACACTGTTCCGACTCAGTGATGCTGACACCATGCTCCTCTGCTTCTCCAGGAGTACTCCGTTCCTTTCATGGAGACTAGTGCCAAGACAGGAGTGAACGTGGAGCTGGCCTTCACTGCTGTGTCCAAGTATGAAACTCTTTACCTGCTCTATATCCAGTCTGAGAGAACTGAAGGAATTATTAGCTTCTACCTGTCTAACAATATACTAACACTGAAGGGGTTTAATAGGATAAAACATTTTCATCCTGTAACGTTTGTGCTTACAGATGATGAAATCATACCAACCATTCATGTCATTACTAATTTTTTCACCCATCATCAATAATATGCAAGAACATTAACATGTAAATGTTTGTTGAACGTTTCAGCCTATTTAGCAATCCATTTAATACATAATATATTAAAATATAAATATTGGTAACATTCCATTGAGAAGTATTTAAAGACAAATTCATTAATTTCCAGGGATGATTAGATAAGAACATGTCCACGTTAAATAAACTAACAATAAATGTAATCAAATGGTATAATAGCCATCCAATCATTTATTTCTTAAAAGGCCATTTCAATATTAACCAAGTTGCAAGTTCACGGATGCTATAATGTTGTTTCGTTAAAGGTCCATCCTTTCCTAAAGGTCACCTATTATGCAAGTGTTACTTTTTAATGTCTTTTATACATAAATATGGGTGGAGACACACAAAGTCTCCAAAAATATGACCTTCTCTCTTTTCCTCCGTACCCACATCTAAAAAAACGGGGGTAGAGCGGAGCTGATTCAGATTTTCTGCGGTCATGACGTAATATCGAAAATCTGGGCTGGCTTAACGTTGAACTCCATATACAGTCACTAGATAGCTGAATCCCCTCCCTCAGCTGTTTGTCTGTGTATTCAGCAGGATTTCTACGAGAGGGACTTAGAGTAAAGTTGTTAATACATAGAAGAAGAAGAAGAAGAAGAAGAAGACTTTTGCAAAAACACTTTATTTACATACGATCAATTATACATTCTTCAAATAAAAATGCTTCATTGTGCAATAAAAAAACAAATCACTTGAAATAATCAATTAAAAACCTATGTCTTAAAAACTTGTGCAAAGTGCAAATCTTCTTTGATAAGAGAACACACAATGTCATCATAGCACCAACGCTGTTTAAAAGCGTCCAAGTCCCCAATGTGTTTATAAAAACGATGCTCCAACCAGAGTCTGGCTCTGATGTTACACAGCCAGATCGCTTTTTCCTCTTCCCCTTTCTTATTTTCAACACTGTTTCTCCTGCTTAAATAAATGGCAATTTTTGCTTCGCCAGAGAGGTAATTCAGGAGCTGCAACTTTTCTTTATTTGTTTTCTTGTATGGAGCCTCCATGATAAAAACACTCTCGGTAAAAGCTATACTAAAAAGACTAAAAACCAATGTTAAAAGAGAGAAGAAACCCGTGAGTCTCTTGCACTCTGTAAAAACATGGAAAACAGTCTCACTAAAACCACAAAATGGACACTTGTTAAAAACAGCAGGATTAATAATAATAATAATATAAATATAAAATAATTACAGGCGATGGCACCGTGTAAAATTCTCCACTGGAAGTTGGCAGTACGTTTTTTAATGGGAGATTTGTATAAAACCCTCCGCTGTGGGCCTGGTCCGCTTCCTGCACCCAGTCTGGTGCTCCACACCGTGGAGGCCCTGTCCTTCAGCACATTTATGTTGGTCGTCTTTACAATGTTCATGTATAGTGTTTTATTGTCAGCTTTGTGGATAGTCATTTGTTCTTGGTTTGCGACCTTGAGCAGGGGGCCGGTCAGTTCTCCGAGCCCTGGGCTCAGGTAGATCTCCGGGAAGGGGTCTGCTGGGTCTGGCTTGGCTCTTCTCTGTCCGTAGCTCCTTAAAAGTCTTTTGTCATCAGGGGAGAGGATCTGGCTCCAGAGTTGCAGGATCCTCTCGGCCACCCGGACAGAGTGCAGACCCAGCAGAGAGCCCAAGGCCCGGGCATCGCTCAGCTCCGGCCCCACTGCATCCACTAACTGCTGAAGGCACAGGGTCTTGGATCTGCACAGCGCCACCGTCAGGCCGGGTGTTTCGCTGCTGCTGACGTCCAACCTGGCTTTGTGAATCAGAGGCTCCCTGAACAACCAGTACAGAGAGTCAGTCTTTGGACACCTCTCATGGTTAAAAAGGGCCCAAGATTTAAAAACACCCTGATAAAAAGGAGGTAACCCACTTAACTTTAAAATGTTTAAATCAGTTAAAAACCGAGCAGCATCCAGCCCCAGGTTACTCACGCGTTGGAATGCAGCTGCTCACATCTCTAGATACCTCTGTAAAAGCTGTATCCTAAAAGTGGCTGATCGGCTGGACAGGTGGATAAGGCCCTGTCCCCCCTCCTCTCTAGATAAAAACAGCACCCCCTGTGGCACCCCAGTGTAGACCCTCCGCAAAAAAAATCTACAATTTCTTTTGTATCTGGGCCTAGTAAAGCCTGAGGGAGGGTCTCAACACAGGTAAGACTGGTAGCCACAGCTGGGATGCCACAAAGGTTGTTTAAAACAACAATCTACCTTTAAAAGACATCTGAGGGAGCAGCCACTTCCACCTGGACAGCTTTTCCTCTATCTTTCCTATGACGTCCTCCAGTTCTCAGACTATATTGTGTTTCCAAGAAACACACCCAGGTACTTAGCCCATCTTTTTCCATGTCATGTTCTGGGGAGAACTGGAGAGACCGCCCCTCCCACTCACCGACAGCTAGGGCCTCACTTTTTTCTCCAATTCACCCTCGCTGGCCGATGCTGAACTAACTCCTCACAATGTAAATAAAATGTCTGTATCTTTTTGGTCTCTAATAAAAACAATGATATCATCTGCATATCCTGATAAAACCATGCCTCCCACTAAAAAACCAGGTAAAAACAGCCCTTGCAGTTTGGAGCGTATTTTGTGAGGAGGAGGGTTCCAGGGAGAGTGCATAGAGCATGCCAGACAGAGCAACAGCCCATGCCGGATCCTTCTACACACTCTAAAAAGGAGCACACCACCTTGGAACTTCAGCACACTCTCAATGTCTTATGGTACAACAACCTTGATCTTGTCTTATGAAACCAGCGCTGAACCCAAACTTCTCCATTACTTTTCCAGAGGAAGCTGTGCTCAACTGCGGTCGAAGCGCCTTTTCCTGATCTAGAGAAATCAGACCAGTATTAATGCCCAATGAGCTGGAGACCTCCAAAACATCTCAAATTAGGTGGACATTTTCCACCATGGATCTGTACTGCCGGGCACACAGCTATAGGTCTGGGTCTCGCGCTGTGGATGACCTGCTCCACAGCCCTCCCCAGCCTGGTGGCCAAAGCCTTGACAAACGTTTGTAATCCACACAAAGCAGAGACACAGGGCGCCAGTTTTTTGATGTCCTGCAGGTTCCTTTTTTGGTAGGCAGCGTGATCCCATGCTCTCCTGCAGGACATCGGCATGAGCCAGAGGCCAGACTTTCCATTAAAAAATCTCTAAAAGGTCATGTGACAAGGCACCTTGTAGGCTGTAAAACTCTACGGAGAGGCCATCGATACCAGGAAGCCGTGTCCCTGCATGCCCTTGCAGGCTCGGTCTGCAGCTCCTGAATCGTTAACGGCCCTTCGAGCTGTGAGTGGTTGGGTCCCTCGTGGAGAACCTGAGGGCAGTTCGTTGCAGAACCCCTCGGACAGAGTTTCCCCCTCCACAATACTCGCTTGTGTACGAGGGTGGAGTGGGGATAAAAAGCTCACAGCTCGCCTCCTGATCTGGCTTGGCTCTGTTATTTCCTGCCCTGTGTCTGACAGCAGTGAGTGGATCACGCTCGCTCTGCCATTCTTTCTCTCCAGGCGAAGAAGGCTGGAAGAATGAAGCTAGTGGGAGCATCCATCTCATAGGTGTTGAGGAACGCGCGGGACCTGACTAGTGCACCCTGAACTTTAACGTCCAGCAGGTTGGCTGAAGCCATTTCTTTTCTCTTCTGAGGATTTGAAATATGCTCTCCGATCTCCTGTGGTCTCATTATTGTTCGTAGTTCCACTAATATCACACTCTCCAAGGTCGTTCATAGATCTAATGAGTCTTGTGACGTGATTTGGGTGTGCTGTTGGCAGAGCAATCTTATCTCAGTCTTACCATGGTCCCACACTGCCTAAGACGTCTAAAATTCCTCCCCTCCTCTCCCTAAAAAACACACAGAAAGTTAAATAAGGCCTCTATTAAAATGTACAAATGTTAAACCAAGATATCAAATGCCAATAGGCAACCTCGCAACATCCAGAGAAACAGGATAAAAGACTTAGAAAGGCAAAGATGCGACCCCGTACTGAGAGCAGGTGGATATGTGCCCATTTTAAAATGACTACCCACCCTGACTCCTACTCATTTAAAAAACCTCTCGCTGATGCAGATTCTCTTGTAAATCTGAAGAGGACATCGACAGCGTTGATTTACCCTGCGTCTGAAGATTACAAGCCTCTTTCGCTGCATCCTCTCTGCAGCTCATATACACCAGGTTTACACTGCCACTGTACCAGCTGAGTCGCAAGCATGCCTGGGATGGCTGGATGATAGGAGCAAAGGAATGCGGCTCTGCATGGTGCGATCTACAGAGTGTTTGGTGTCGGCCACCATGTAATATCTACGTCAAAGTCAAAGTGTATGAAGCGATTTTTTTGTGGGAGTAGTCTAGGAGAAGAGACCGGCGAGCATCGCTGGACTGCGTCAAACCCACGAATCAATCATGTTGTGTGTGTGATCCACTTTTTGGTGTGGACGCCAGAAGCAGTGTGTGGGACTCTGGTAGTTGCCGGTGGGTGTTCTACTCCACAAGAAGCGCTCGATATACTTCAGGTGGTCTTGGCTCGCTT